AACTCGTGTAGTGTATGTATTCAAGATTAAATCGTTCCAATACTTTACATTACACTACACTACACTGCAACTCGTGTAGTGTATGTATTCAAGATTAAATCGTTCCAATACTTTACATTACACTACACTACACTGCAAGTCGTGTAGTGTACGTATTCAACATTAAATCATTCTATTAACCCCTTCATACTGCTGTATCGCCGTTGGTCAACGCATTAGTGAGGTGCATATAATAGCGTGGCCCCTATTTCTCAGTTGTGATGTATATGATTTAAACCAAGCGGGTGAGTTCTGGCAGGATTAGAATCAATCAGTCGTTGCTGCTGTAGCCAGTACTAGAGGAAATCTATTATTAAAGGTAACAATATATTCGGCTTGCAAAAGTGTTCCCAACCCTTGGACATTATTGGACACTCGCCAGGGTGGGGTGTAGTAAACTTAAATATGGCGCACACGTAAGGACATACGCGCTCCTACACGTGCATGTGTACGTACGAATTTGTACATTATATCTCGACAACTACTAGTAAATACGAGTATCCGTATAGGCCTTGGTCCATAGCCTTCTAAATTAGACACTTTGGTACGCATTATTCTGTTCTACCCCTCCCCACATCTCTGTCGATTTTCCTTTACACAAAACTGTACGTGCCTACCAGTATGTGCATGCTACTCTTAAACCGCGAGTCCTCTATCGGCTTTTTGCGGATAGCAATACGCCAACTGATAAGTGTTGAGTGAGAAAGTGTGTGGGGTTGGGCGCCAACAATTCCTGAAAACTCAGTACTTCCCATAACCACCTGGAAAAATAAAATAAAATAAAAAGTAATAGTAAAAAGAACTAGTAAACAGAAGAGCTTCTCCGCTGATTATTCATTTATTTATTTGAGGAATACCCGTGGACTCCAACACGGCCTGTCCCGCTTCTTCGTTTGCTGTTGTTGTTGTAGTTGCTGCTGCCGTTGCTGCATCTTAACTTGCACCACCTTTGTATCGTCCTGCCGGTCCTTTTCCTTCTCTTTCAGGGCAGAGCTTATGGCCCCCACCGTAGTCCCCTCGATGCTCACACTGTTCCGTGCACCTCCTGATATCAGAGGCAGCCTGACAATACACGCATCATTCCGTAACCGCTCGCTATTAGTTTTCGCGCTGCTTGTGCTGGTTATTTGTCCACTATCACTCTTCGCTCCATCCAGGTGCACTGTGCTTATGGTGTCTTCGCCTGTGGGTTCTTTGGCCCCGTTTAATGTGCTGGTAACTGGTGCACCCATGTACTCTTCGCTCTCGTGATCGACGCTTGAGGCCGTGATTTGCTTCTCAGATTGCGAATCCTTCCGCGTCTATGCACAGATGTGTGTATAATGAAGAGAGAGGTAGTTAGAGGAACAGCTGGGTAAAGATAACGAAGAGAGAGGTAGTAGCTGGGTGAAGAGCGGGTAGATAGCGAGCACCCACACAGGCAGGTAGATGATTCGAACAGCACTAACGTCCCTAAATAAGTTAAAAAAGACACCAAGCTACTACAGGTGTTGTTAGCAAGCAATAGTTTATGTATACAGATAAACCGGACTCGATACATCGCGCAACTGGAGATAGACTAAGATTATAAGCTTTAACTAAAGGTCACATTGTAATTGATACACGTGCATGAGAATTTTAAGGGTTGTCTTTAAACGTTTGAGTGTGTGCGTGCACACATACAGCGTTATGGATGATATGAAGCATTGCAACATGGAGATTTGATTGAGGGACCAACCCTCAAGACTGGCCGGATCTGTTTATATATATGTATATATATATATATATATATATACAGAGACATGACAGATAAAACGATTGGACATGACTATGGAAGACATAAAACATGCGAATGTCAGTAAGGTCGATTCATACCATACATATGCATTCGTTCTGGGAAGTAGTATACATACACTAAAATATACTCAACGTTACGATTCGCAGATAGACATTGCAGCTTCTGCGCCGTCGCCAACCGATGAACTATCCACAGGTATATGCAACACATTTTCAGCATTTGGAACGAAAATACAAGCAAAACAGCTATATATGCCTGTACACTATATTTAAAAAATAAAACAAAACAAAACAAAGAACAGAGAACATTCCCGTATTAATACGACAGAATACATATGTATTTTCCAGAATAACTCTGCACAAGAGATGTATAGTACCAAGTGTAGGCATGTATGCACTCAGAAAGGTAAACACAAAACAAACACGAAAACAAACAAAACACACACATAGATATGTACTTGCATACATAGATATATACATACACACACACACACATAGATATGTACGTGCATACATAGATATATACATGCATACATATATACATACACACACACACACACACAGATATATACATATATACATGCATACATATATACATACATACACACACATATATAAATAAATAAATAAACAAACAAACAAACAAACAAAGGAACACACACACAATATGTACATAAAAGTATATAATATTCGTCGATTATAATGAGACAATGATGGATATACCTATGTTCAGTCAGGTAGTGTATCAAAGTGGATTTATAATTTGGAAATATATATACAAGTGCGTAAAAAGTTTCCCCTTGTATGGTATCACTATTTAGTGTACACTCATACAGCTTCGCGAGGACTACACACAAGCAAGTACAAAGCATATGTACATCAGAATTCGTCATAAGAGTGCTACAGAAAGCTATCGATAGTCCAACGCACTTGCATACACAAACACACACACACCACGGCTACTCACATGCACACCACGGTTGCTTACATGCACGCCACGGTTGCTTACATGCACACCACGGTTACATAGATGCACAAGGCGATTGCATACATGCACACTACGGTTGCTTATATGCACACCACGGTTGCTTCAAGGCACACCACGGTTGCTTACATGCAGACAACGGTTGCTTAAATGCACAGCACGGCTGCTTACATGGACACCACGGTTACTCACATGGAC